AGCTAATTCTTAAGTGTTCTTTCTTCGCTTAGGTTTCCTGTGGATTGGTTTTCTAATTTGAGGTCTGAATTAGTGTGACTGGTGGGGGTCCAATCGCAAACGGCACAGTAAGCAAGCTTGCTAGGGGGTAGTGGGAGAAAAAAATTTGGAAAAATATTATTTTACATACATTTTTTTATCATCTAAGTTGAGTTTTCCTGCACTTTATTCACGTTCTTCTTTTCCAAAATAAATGCGTTAGCGTTTTGCAAGGAGTTGTGGGATTAAAGATGGACCGGGGAAACTGGACCTGAACGGTCATGTTTGCGGTTATGAAGTTGCTGTCATGGCGGTGATCTGAAGCTTTGTACGTGGCAAAGTGCACTGCTCTGAATATTCAACGTGAAATGAAAACCCTGCCTTTTTAAATTGTTTGTATAGAATTTTCGTAAATTCTAGTTAACCACTGCAGTGTCTGATCTGGTGACCACAAAGTACGATTACGCAAATCTCGTCATAAAATTCAAGATGTTTCGAAGAAATATCTACGTTATGCGTTTACTTTTTTTGCTACTTTCTGTGGCAATATACGGCGCTCAGGCAACAGGAGATGAAAACTTAGGAAATACTCAGAGTGGTGTAGGAACTAATGCTAAAGAGGGTGCCCGTGAAGCTTCTGCCAGTGACAATTGGATCACGAATCTGTCATGGAACCTTCTTGGCTATGCGACAATAATCATACCCGGAGCCTTCATTATTCGTATGCTCAAGAACTCGAACTTCAACGAAAGAAGCGGTAAGTCTAAAGGATTATGCATACGTGTACTTATTGTAAATTTTGCAGTATAGAGATGTCAGCCCACAGTTTCGTAGAGCTTTAGGTGGTAGCTGGTGACTGTGTCTGACGTTAATAGTCGTGTAGATGTACTTCCCTCTTATGTGCGGAAAGTAGCAAGTATTTGTCCAAAAACATAGCTTCCTTATATTATTAACAGTTTTTAAAACATATCTACGGGTCACCTGAGTCTCTTGAGAATAGTGATCAATTTTGACTGTATTAATTTTCCATAATAATAGTATCAGTTGTAGTAAAGCGTTGCCCATCTATCCATTTACGATTATTTTCAAGGGTGCAAATTATGTCTTCAGTAAGTTTTTCTGGTTTGGCAAAAAATGACAGTCAACTTTTAGTTTGGGGGGAAGGCACATTGAGGCAATACAAATGGGGCACAGAAGTTTGTGCATGACTGGCCAAGGGTTTATCTCCTGAATTTTCTTCTTGAGGTCTGCTAGTGAACCAAGACCATTTTTGCAAAAGATTAGGGAAGTCCCTGTAAACCCAATCAAATAGTAAAAGTGCAGTGACTGAAGTTTCAGTGGAAATGATAATAGCTTATTAAAATGTTTGTTTGAATTTCCTAAAAGGTTTATGAAACAAATGCCATTATGTGAGAGTGGTTGCTGTGGAGACTACTTGAGTTATTGTTATATAAGCGCAGACCATGCGGTATAACCCTTTACACCCTAACATTAGTATACATATTCCCCATACTTTCTCCATACATTTCCCAAGTTGCTGATTGGGAGAATTTGTGAAACAATCTAGACCTTTTTTAGTTGGTGATCATTGCCTTCATTCCCTCAACCTTACATTTTGATTCAGGGGTGATATTGTAAGGAGAAATTAGATGCTAGTCACTTTTAGGGTCAAAGGGTTGAGGGCAACTTTCAAAGAATAATCACTGGGATCATAGTTATATAAGCAGACTGCCAGTCAAGGGAAAACTTTAAGGATGAACAGTTTCATGAAGTATATGAATTTAGTTGACGGCACTGCATGACTGTAAAAGTCCCCTTCAAATAATACAGAGATACATGCCTTGCATAATGAGTAAAATATAAATAAATCCTATTTTTCCCTTTTTTTTTTTGGGATGGGATCATATATAATTATCCAGCAGTAAAATGAATGTTTTAAACTGAGCTGGTCATTCAGTGGTCTCCTTTTCAGATATTAATCAGTTAAATTTACTGCTTTTAGTAACCCTTATTACCATCTGAAAATTGTGCAGAATTCTTGAAATTTCAATAAGCAAAAAGGATTGCTCCACCAGTTTGAACATTTCTTTTACCTTTCATGCATAAAATAAGGGAGAACACTGGTCATTATGTGAGTCTGTAACATGCCCATGAGGGCTATGTATGTGCCTATTCTAGGGATAATTATTTTTTCTCAACCGAGATATTTATGGTTGTCTGTTTTATTGCTTACAGGTACAGGTTGCCTCTTCCGTTCTGTTCAGCTTTGTGTGTTTGGCACACCACCAGAGACCCCAAGCGTTGAGGATGGTGGCATTAAACCAAAAGAGGACCCTCCTTCGCCAGGTTTTTCTCAGACAACTATCAAGCTTCTCTTTTGTGCTGCTGGTCTTCAAGTATCTTATCTCACATGGGGAGTCTTACAAGAACGAATCATGACAAGAAGTTATGAAGAACGTAGGGCAGATGGGACTGTAGAACTTGTGAAATTCCAAAACTCTCAATTCCTTGTATTCATTAACCGCATCCTGGCTTTGACAGTAGCCCTTATTTATATAATATTCACCCGGCAACCACGTCACACTGCTCCACTGTACAAGTATTCATACTCTTCCTTTTCAAATATAATGAGCAGCTGGTGTCAGTATGAGGCATTGAAATTTGTCAGTTTTCCAACGCAAGTCTTATGTAAAGCATCAAAAATAATACCTGTTATGATCATGGGGAAAATAGTATCAAAGAAAACATATCCATACTATGAATATGTTGTTGCAGTTCTCCTTTCTGGTGGGGTTAGCCTCTTTCTCTTGGCAGCTGATCCATCAGGAAAGCGAACTGCAGCAGCTACAACTTTTTCAGGTGCTGTTATTCTCTTAGGTTATATGGCATTTGACAGCTTCACTTCCAATTGGCAGTCAGAGCTGTTCACCCAACACAAAATGTCCTCCATGCAGATGATGTTAGGAACTAATCTCTTTTCCAGTCTGTTCACAATGTGGTCGATGATTGAAGGTGGAAGCTTCTTGTCCTCAGTTTGGTTTGCACTAAGCCACCCTGAGTTTGCATTCCATGCTGTATTGTTGTCTCTCATGTCAGCAACAGGACAGCTATTTATTTTTTACACCATTCAATCATTTGGTCCAATTGTCTTCACCATTATCATGACCACACGGATGATGTTAAGCATACTTCTGTCGTGTATCCTGTATAACCACCCTCTGTCAGCTCAAGCAATGTTTGGTGTGATTATTGTATTTGTGGCTCTCTTTCTGAGGGTTTATGCTAGGTATCGTGCAAAATCTTCCAGTAAGTCCTAACTTCATTAGTTAAAATGGGCTGGGTAAGCAGAAAGCTGGTAATGAAAATTTTGGAAAGCATCCTTCAATTCTCTCTTGATGAAAAGAAGATGAATCTGCCACTGGCAATATTTTTCATGTACACACATACATACACTCTTATTTAACCCTTAAACTCCCATGAGTGACCAAGACAGGATTTCTTCTTAAAATATTAATACATTATCAACCAGATAAGTGAAAAGAATAAAGAAAAATATCAGTTTGGGGATAATTAGTTAATCCAATACCAAATTCTCTGAACTAACATCATTAGAATTGTATGATTGACAGTAAGGAGAATGACAATTTTGATCTGGGAGTTAAAGAGTTAAGAATACCAGGAGCATTGCTTTTGTGAAAGCTTGCTAAGTGCACCCCCCTCCCATAGAAAAAGATAAAATAAAAAATTCAGTTTAGTGCTCCTTCATCTGTAACAAGCAGTTATCCTATTGAACACTATGCACACCAAAGCTTAAACATGTTGTTTTTGTTTAACATGGTTTAGAATTGTTTTCTTCATTGAAATATATTTTCTTCATTGAAGCCACTTAAACCAAGTTTGTTGACTTCAAATTTAGTACTTTTTAAATACATTTCAGTGATTACTTAATACCTAATAAGCCTGAATTTTTCTTGGATGAAAAATTCAGGTTTTCTGTTTGTTTTTGATTTTCATTCAGTTATACACAGTTTGACAAAACATGTTTTTCTGGTGTGAATGGGACCTTTGTATTTATTAAACTGTTCAATCTTCCTTATTTGTGAGTGGAGAAAAGTGTCATTATTACAGTGATTTCAAATTATAAAAGTTGAGTTTAATGTGATACCCAATCACTAAGTGATCACACTGTTCCACTAGTATAATGTGTTAAGTAATAAAATGAGTTGAAAATTCTCATAAGATAAAGATGTTTCATTTTAAATCACTACTATTATATACAGCTTTTTTCAAGTTTAAAAGTATGCTTCTCTATTCAGTTTTAGAGTTGGCATGTAGTTTTTTATTTGTTATTATTCATTAAAATGTGTAATACTATTTTTAGACCAAGCTTAGGTGGTTTCATACTTTAGTAAATAATTCAATTCGGGTTAAATATCTAGGGAAAAGTTCTTGTGAATTATGGAGTAGAAAGGTTGTTGGGTAATTCAGCTTCTCCTTAAAAAAAAAAGGCAATCTGGCCAGCTTTATTATGAAGTATGTCTTTACTCATGACTGTGACTTAGTAAATCAGCAGAAACTATTATTAACTGTCCTTAATGTGAAGTCTCTAATGACTAATTCTCTCTGGTAAGCTTTCATTCTGAGCTTCAGGTTTTCATTAAAGCCTCTTGAGACCTCTATATCTCTAAAATTTATGATGTCATTCTTTCCTTAACTGATGCTTTGCAGGTGGTTATATCGAAATTTGTTAGGTAGCATGTCAGTACAAAATAGACATTTTTGTGTGGAATGTCTGTATTAGATTATATTTTAAATATTTGGGTAATAACAAACAAAGAGATACATTCTGCATATGATAGTCATTAAAGACTAGTGGAAGTTGTAAAGGGAAAGAGTTTCTCATATTTGGTGTCCCAATGGGTCTTTGATATGTGTCCCCATTTGAAAAAATTAACCCTTCAACCCCAAAGAGTGATCAATTTTATATGAGGACATCGGTTATTAGGTGATGGCCATGTGAGAAGTACTTTCTCAAAAGTGTCAAATTTGTGGTCACAAAATGGCAGAGTTAACCATTTCCGCTGTTTCTTTAAATTTGGTTTAGCTTGGAAGGAGGCTCTCCTAAGCACAAGCCTTCACTAAGAACAATCTTGGGTTCAAGTATTTCTGGAGAGCATTTTAGTCAATCGTGATCTTTTCGTGCCCGTATAAGCTTCTGAATACGATCCAACACGATTTCATTGCCACATCTGCAGCTTTCAGGATCATACGGAGGTTCCACAAGTAGAACTCCCATTACTGACAATACAGCATTGTCTTCCGAACTTTCCGTAACTGGAATTCGATTCTTCGTCAGCCACTCGATCAGATCGCCTTTTCGTTTCAAAATTTCATCTTCTGAATACTCCTTAGAGTTTCCCAATTCAATGAAATTAATCTTTGCCGGACAGGGACCTCCATTTTCCTCTTGAACAACGCGCGTGATCGCATGCCCTAGAATAAAAGTCAGCTTCTTGGAGGTGAGGTTATCCGTTTCTTCTTGTAGAACCACGGTGTATGTCACTGGGTCGATGGCAAGTACCCATCCTTCTTTCCTACTGTTGTCACAGAGACAAATAATTATTTTCTTGTCAATGAATTCTTGCAAAGAAACGCTAGAAAGAGAGGTCCAACTCTCAACATGTCTTATAATGTCCGCCATTACGCACAACAACCGCTGAATAATAGCAGGCGACTCATTCCCAAGCTCTTTCGGCCGCTCCGAAATCCTGTCCTACCCAACATCATCAATGAGGCCTGACCATCAATCTTTGACATACCGGCATTCGAACCCACGGGGAATGGCGGAGTGACCGCTTAAAACAGCTGGTTCCACAGATTAGGGGTATTATAAAAAAAAAATCGCTGAACAACGTCACTTTATACCATAATTGACCACTTAATGTGCAGAATCTCGCTCGAAAATACTACCTACTTCGATTTTGTAAGAGAAACAGGGATCAAAAAATAATTTGAAAGATTATTCTTGATTTTATTGGAGTAGTCCCATTTTCAGTGACCGTTCACATTCAATACAGGAGGAAGACAATAAAAACAGGCCATTGACACTCGGTAAAGGATGACCACGATCGCTTAATCGAGGTGAAAATTACAAAGATTAAGGGGAAACCCTGAAATTCGGGACTTTGACAACTGACCACTATATACACGTTATAACCGCTTAACACGGTGCTGCTTATTTCAGGTTCAAATGTACTAAGAGAGGAGATGGAACTTGCCCCTTCTATTGCTATCTCGGTCAGTGGAGGTGAGTGAAACAGTTTGCGAAAGACGTTCAGCGGTTATAACAAGGGGAATTGTAGCAATACTGCCACCAATTTCGCCTTCCACTTTTTGGTTGTCTCCAACGATCGAAACTCTAGCACACACTGTACACAAAATAGTCCCTGTAATTATTAGACATTTAATTTTTTACTCTACGTTCTGAGGCCTCCTGTTTTTAAAAGTTTCTCAAGGCGATTGTTATTTCCTGTAGGTTTTGGTTGCAGAAGGAAGATCTCTCGGAGTGAGCAGTCATTTGTGCAACAAACAAACATGAAACACATTCATTAGATCGAAGCAAAAACCATCTTTTATTCAGTTACGATTGAACATCTGCAAAAAAGGAAAAAAATTGGGATTAGTGAATAAAACCTTCTATACGTTACCACTCTCAATAATAAATGCAGTTTTGTTATGAATATTAAGGTTTATTTCATTCGTATTTCACCCATCCTTCAGTCGTCGCTCGTTCCATTTTGATCTTATACGTGTGTGATTTCAGACCAAATTGCACTCCACTCAGTTTAATTGTCATTAAAAATTTCCCTTGCCGGTGCAATAGGAAACTTAGAGAGAACGATGTGGAAGATATACAGACTGACTAAGTCAGGGTGTGAAGGGCGAAACACTTGAGCTACTCATTGGGAAACAGGTCGGTTTATGTACGATAACAGACTATCTTCACATCCATTCAGAAACCAATAAAGATGCATCTGTCATAGTAAAATTCCTTATACACTTACATTGATAAATTCACATCTACTTTAACATAGATTTGGAAAACCCAAAACTTGTAATTAATCTGAAGGATTATCATCCTAGGACAAGAAAAAAAAATACAAATTAGAAAAACGTACTGATTTAATATGAAGATAAACAAACAACTTATTGGATGGATTGATTAATTTTGAATGAGTGAAATGACTTAAAGGCAAATATTCCAACAACGGCTCGAACGATCGATCGTGCACTTCTCGATCGTACAATTCTGATTGGTAACTACTTGGCTTGAGTATCTGCCACTTTCGCAACCAAACAATGCAATACTTATTAAGGGCTTTGTTCTTGTGTTAACTGACGAACGCGACTTTAACTTGCGATAGCCACTTTGAACTGGATATATTCACCTCTTCCAGTTCAAAGTGGTGATCGGCAGCTCAAAGTTGCGCAGGGTCTGTTGCAGAGAAAACTGGCGTTACTGTCTCAACCAATCAAATACAAAAATAAAACTTATTGCATGTGACTTGATCACTGCTGTTTTCTCGCGCTTCTTACCCGTAATGTTTATCACTTTACTTTTGGTTCTTATTTGGTTTCGTTTAATATTTTTATTGGTGCTTATTGCCTCATCTATTTTTCTCTTGAAGGTTTGTCGAAAAGTTTTTTGTTAAACACTTGTAGCGTCAGGTTGAGTCAAGAAACAAAGATTAAGAAGAGAAACAATTGTTATGGCTAACTATCGATTCCAGAGTGATAATTAAAAGGGGCCCAGCTTTAAATATCTTTTTGTTTTATATTTTTTTTTGAAGAGAATTATACACTTACAGCAATGATGATGCTTTCATCGTCTGACAGTAGGGATGAAAATCCAGAGATTTGGTCAATCTATAACGAAGTGGAGAAGATGCAAATGAAATAGGGAACAGAAGAAATGGAGATCATGTGCTGTAAGAAAATTTGTAATGTCATCAAGATTCTCGTTTTGAGTCTGAAAAATCCTGCGCGACAGTGGTGTAAATCGATCGTTTTTCGCAGGAAATTGACTGGATAGCCTGGCGGATGATTCAGATTATGCTTGGTTTTAAGACGGTGCACAGGTCAGTTACTAAAGAGGACTTTTAAGGAGCTACATCACGACAGTTTTATTTGTCTTTTGAGTTCATGAAAATTATGATAGTCGAGGGAAATTTTCTAGTAACAATTTTTGCAGGTAGAGAGAAACCTGAAGAGACAA